GACGACTTCGGCATACATCCGTACCAAGCACCAAGCGCAACGGTGACCGGGAAATGTGGTCTTTACTTTGAACAGCCACAGGTCCTGCCCCTTCGTTATCACGATAGAAGAGTAATCAAATGGACTTGGGGAAGGGCATGCGCCCCCCCCCCCCCCCCCCGGCAGTCCTTACAGTAGAGACTCATGGCAAAACTTCGAAATTCCAAAACCTTCTTTGTGGAAGACTACCAATGATGTGAAGTCCTGGTACCATTAGAGCACTGTCTGGTTTCAGACAGTCTGATGCTTGCTTTGTGGTGCTGATCCAACAATTTATATCCCTATGAATTTTTTTAAAATTTTAAATAACTTTATTTTAATTTTACCAGAGCAAGACAGAGAGAGAAAGTGAGAAAGCAAGCTGCTAGGCCTGGGACCTGAACCACGGTCAGCCATGTGGGAGTCCAAGTGCCCTTAACCACTAAGCCACTTGCCAGCCCTATATCCTGGTGAATTTTTTCTTATATGTAACATTTGCATGTAATTTGGACCTACTCCCCCTCCCTAAATCCACTGGTCTCTTGTCCTCCTTCAGTCCTCTAAGAACCAGAGCAAACTTTAAAAACATGGATCTGGTGCTAGTGGGTGGCACAGAAGTTAAGGCAGCTAAATTCCACATGACTGACTTTGCGGTTCGAGTCCCGGACCTGGTGGCTTGAAAAACATGCCAAGTGCATGCATGTCCACGCCCAAAATCCTGAGGAGAAGGGATTGCAGTGTGGCCATCTCCTCTGGCATCTCCTCTAGGGGGTGATTTCTCACTTTCCCTCTCTCTGCTTCTGGCAAATGCACATGCCCTATAACAAACTTTAAAAACAAACAAACAAACATGAATCTGATCACTCTTCCAAACCCTTAATGTCTTCCTTCTGCTCCTAGAACACAAATCAAGCTCCTAACCCTGTTTCACAAATGCTAACTGTAGCCTAGCCTCGCCCACCTCAGCCTCCTGCTCACCACGTTCCTCTGCTTTGTGCTCTTCAGCCACAATGGCCCTGCAGTGTCTTCATGGCACCCCACTGTCTTCTACCACAGGGCCTTGGTACATACTGTTCTCTATCTGAAAGGCTGTCTTCCCATCCTCTTTGCCCAGTTTAATTCTGTTTATCGTCTTTCCCATCTCAATTCATTTCACATTTTTTTTTAAATGAGAGAGGGAGTACACACAAAAATTTTTTTTCATTGCCATAGGGCACATGAGAGAGAGAGAGAGAAACTAACCAGAGAGAGACAGAGACAGACAGAGACATGAGGAAGAAAGCACTCCTTGGTGGGATGTAGCCACACAACAATCTCTTTTCCTCCATCTCTCCATCCTGTTGGGATTTGGGGCACACATGTATGCCTGGCATGTTTTTCAAGCTACCAGGGCCACAAACATGTGGGATCTAGTTTCCTTAACCACTAGGCTATATGGCCAGCCCAGGACAGGTACTTTTGACAGGGTCTTGCCAGATCAAGATCCTCTTACTCTAGCCTCTCAGCTAGCGAGGACCATAGGCATGAGCCCCTGTGCCTGGCCTGTTTAGAGTGGACCAGGAACTAAACCCAGCCCTCCCATACAGCCTCCTACGTGGCCTCAGTCACCAAGGAACGGTGCCCTCCCTCAGCTGGGCCTTCTGCCCACTTGTTCAGGGAGGCCTTCCTTGATCCGTTCCACCCCGCACCTCTCCACACACACACACACACACACACACACACACACACCCCTTCAGGGCCCTTTTATAGTTATAAATTCATCGGTGTGCTTGACTCACTCTGGTTGAACTCCATGAGGCCAGGGCTATTTTTGCACCTTCTTGTATCTTCCCCCTTGTATAAGGCTCATAAATACATTCTAAAATTAAAATCATCCATAATCTCACATCCCCCAATGACCACTGTTTTCAGATTCTGATTGGTTTTCTAAAAGTGTATGCTAACATTAATATTTACACTTGGTGTTAGTAACAATGATTCTGGAATCGAGATCTGGGACCCAGTCTTCATACCAGAATTCTTGGCCAGTGCCTTCCCCATTTTAAAAATAACCCAACGTGAGAGGTTAGAGAGGACAGAAGCACGACCCTTGGGGAGAGGAAAAGTCTCTTGATTTGGATCCTTTTTGCCCTCAGTGATGAAATTCTGGTATAATTTCCTCATGATGAGTCAAACTGGATGAAGTTAAGGCAGCTAAATTCCACATGACTGACTTTGCGGTTCGAGTCCCGGACCTGGTGGCTTGAAAAACATGCCAAGTGCATGCATGTCCACGCCCAAAATCCTGAGGAGAAGGGATTGCAGTGTGGCCATCTCCTCTGGCATCTCCTCTAGGGGGTGATTTCTCACTTTCCCTCTCTCTGCTTCTGGCAAATGCACATGCCCTATAACAAACTTTAAAAACAAACAAACAAACATGAATCTGATCACTCTTCCAAACCCTTAATGTCTTCCTTCTGCTCCTAGAACACAAATCAAGCTCCTAACCCTGTTTCACAAATGCTAACTGTAGCCTAGCCTCGCCCACCTCAGCCTCCTGCTCACCACGTTCCTCTGCTTTGTGCTCTTCAGCCACAATGGCCCTGCAGTGTCTTCATGGCACCCCACTGTCTTCTACCACAGGGCCTTGGTACATACTGTTCTCTATCTGAAAGGCTGTCTTCCCATCCTCTTTGCCCAGTTTAATTCTGTTTATCGTCTTTCCCATCTCAATTCATTTCACATTTTTTTTTAAATGAGAGAGGGAGTACACACAAAAATTTTTTTTCATTGCCATAGGGCACATGAGAGAGAGAGAGAGAAACTAACCAGAGAGAGACAGAGACAGACAGAGACATGAGGAAGAAAGCACTCCTTGGTGGGATGTAGCCACACAACAATCTCTTTTCCTCCATCTCTCCATCCTGTTGGGATTTGGGGCACACATGTATGCCTGGCATGTTTTTCAAGCTACCAGGGCCACAAACATGTGGGATCTAGTTTCCTTAACCACTAGGCTATATGGCCAGCCCAGGACAGGTACTTTTGACAGGGTCTTGCCAGATCAAGATCCTCTTACTCTAGCCTCTCAGCTAGCGAGGACCATAGGCATGAGCCCCTGTGCCTGGCCTGTTTAGAGTGGACCAGGAACTAAACCCAGCCCTCCCATACAGCCTCCTACGTGGCCTCAGTCACCAAGGAACGGTGCCCTCCCTCAGCTGGGCCTTCTGCCCACTTGTTCAGGGAGGCCTTCCTTGATCCGTTCCACCCCGCACCTCTCCACACACACACACACACACACACACACACACACACCCCTTCAGGGCCCTTTTATAGTTATAAATTCATCGGTGTGCTTGACTCACTCTGGTTGAACTCCATGAGGCCAGGGCTATTTTTGCACCTTCTTGTATCTTCCCCCTTGTATAAGGCTCATAAATACATTCTAAAATTAAAATCATCCATAATCTCACATCCCCCAATGACCACTGTTTTCAGATTCTGATTGGTTTTCTAAAAGTGTATGCTAACATTAATATTTACACTTGGTGTTAGTAACAATGATTCTGGAATCGAGATCTGGGACCCAGTCTTCATACCAGAATTCTTGGCCAGTGCCTTCCCCATTTTAAAAATAACCCAACGTGAGAGGTTAGAGAGGACAGAAGCACGACCCTTGGGGAGAGGAAAAGTCTCTTGATTTGGATCCTTTTTGCCCTCAGTGATGAAATTCTGGTATAATTTCCTCATGATGAGTCAAACTGGATGAAGAATAGGGAAGAGAAAGTCTGAGAAGGCCTGTCAACACCCGGGGCCTCCAGCTATCTGCTTTCCCTTTTTAAGTGATTCTTTGGCTCTCATCAGAGATGGTTTCAAAACACAAGTCAGTTTCTTGGAAATATCAGTACGCGTTCCTTCTACAGGCCTCAGCTTGCCATCTATAATTAGCCAAAAGTCCTGGGTTAATCAGTGTTATTATTGCCATTTAAAATCCCAACGTGAAAAATAGGCTTCCACTGGCGGGTTCGCTGGCGGCCCCGGTGGGGCATGGGCGTGGCTCAGCTGGCCCGAACCCGGAGATTGTTGAGTTACCAACATGGACAATCCGAAAGCTAAATAGAATCTCACCTGCAGTGGGCAGCCCAGGCTACACACCTCAGGTCAGTCTGAGAGCAGGACCCCAGGGATCGAGGCCAGGATGCGACAGTGCCCGCCGCAACCCCTGGCACCTTCCCCGCTCTCTCCCCGGAGCCCTGCCTCCAAGACCAGGTTCCTGGGCTCAGCCTGAGCTACTGGTGGGCTGGCGGGAGGAGCCTGAGGTCCCAGGGCAGAGAAGATCCCGGGCAGGGGGCATGGAGGACCTGGGTGAGGCAGTCCCTAAGTTGCACGCCTGTCCTGGGCCATCCCAGGTGCTCTGGGAGCCTATGGACTTCCTGGAGTCTAATGGTGGCCCGAGACAAGGAGAAGGGAGGTCGCTCGGCCTACAGCAAAGGTCGGGGGTCCTGGGCCAGAAGGAGGGCCCCAGGCACAGGCTCAGGAGGATGCGGGCGTGGACAGTGCCTACTTGGGCGGAGGAGCTGCCAAGCCCAGTTCTGCACCGCGGCCCCAGGACAGCGCGCGCCCCACCCAGCGTCCTGGAGGCCTCCCTGCCGCACCCCTGTGCACCCAACGTCCCGGAGGCCTCCCTGCCGCACCCCTGCGCGCTCCTCTCGCCTGAGGGCTGTCGGTGCCGCTAGGGCAGAGACCGCAAAGCCTCCGGATAACCCCCTCTGATCCCCGGGCCCTGCCGTTGTCCCCCTGCCCCCAGGTGGGGAAGTCAAGGCAGGGCCTGGGATGGTCCGTGCCCGCCGTGGACCCCACGTTTTAGAGCTCTCCTTAGTCACCCCAGACGCGGGGAGATGGGGAGGGTCCCCGCCCAGCCACGGGTCTCCTCTGAACCTGACGTGACTGTTGGGTTTTTATATTAGATTACACAACCTGCACCCTTCTCTTCACTCCCCAGTGGTTGACCCCCGGGCCGCCTATTATAGTGCAGTTCTCGCAGGATTTTTCAAAATTATTAAGAGAATTGGAAACCCCTGGTTTGGCGGCACCTCCGTTGGAATCATTATGTTGGCTTTGTGACCCAGAAGAAAAGGATGAGTGAAGCTGATGAAGGAACATGCTCTGTTCTTCCTCCTTGGTGAATAGAGACGTAGACACCCCCAACACACACACACACACACACACACACACACGCACACACACACACACGCACGCGTTCACTGCTGTCCTCACAGCCTCCACACTGAGGAACCCTGTCACAGTTCCGGAGTTGGCGGCGGCTCCCAGGAACAGGCCCCCACGCCTCCTGGGCTCCCAGTAACTGTTTAAAGGTGAGTGAGAGGAATGAATGACGGCGTTGGCTGGATCTGAGCCACAGAGAATAAAACAGGGAGGACGTCCTATAAAGATGAAAACCCATGGGACGGGTGGGACTTTGCTCTGGAGTTTGGCCACTCGACCTGATACGACCCATGGCCCTGAACACGTGCTGTGCACTGCAGAGTGACAATGGCCACTGAGTGGACAAGACTTGCAGCTGTGACTCACTTTCCCTGCCTAGTAAAGGGTTCAAAGTTTTACTGCCTTCCCAATGGTTATGCACAGAAAATACCAAGTGTAGACCATTCTGAGTTTCTTAAAAAGAAACCTAAGAGGGACCAGCAGTTAGCGTAATGGCTATGTCGCTGGACTCCCATGTGGTCGACCGCAGTTCGCGTCCCGGACTCGGTGACTTAAACTCACGCTGGGCACGTGTGTGTGTGTGCCTAAGATCCCAAGAGGAGAATGGAGGAGAAGGGATTGTGGCATGGCCATCCCCTCTGGGGGGTGATTTCTCACTTTCTGTCTCTCTGTCTCTGTCTGGTGAGCGCACGCGCCCTATAGCAAAAACTTCCTCAAAAAAAAAAAAAAAAAAAAAAAAAAAAAAAAAAAAAACACC